CGATACGTCATTCCCTCAAAAATATTATTTTCTATCTTTTTTGTAATGGGTGATTTTACTCTAAGATTACTAATAAACATAGAAAAAACGATTCTGCGTAAATTCATTTTGTCTATTTGTTGCGCGTGGGCCGAAGAGAGAGCAAACAAATAGTGCGCTGACAATCTCCTTATACATAGGTAATTGTTGGATTGACAACTACTAGGTAATCCTTAAATATTTTTACCATATTTATCTGTCATCCCATAAGTTGTGCTATGGATTTGTGACAGAAGAATGAATAGGTACAGGTTAAATAAAATATTAAAATAAGATAAAAAAAATATAAAGCGCCTACATACCTATAAGTACAAAATATGTAAATTGTGTATATTCTGTATCTATACGCCTGTAGACTGTCTTATGCATAAATACATTGTGTTCCAATTGGTTTTGTTTCAATATATTATAGCCCAAATTATAGCTATAATAATGATAAAATAACGTTTTTATGAATATTTTTTTACTCCATAGTAAAATATAAAAACCATAATTATTTATTTATTTATATTAAATGGTTTATAGAAAAATTGACCTTAGCCATATAATTGGGAATAAAAACTTTGCGTTAGCTGACCTCCCAAGTACATGTAAGCATGCATTATTTAAATCAGCTTATAATTTGAATTAATAAGTTTATCAAATATTTAATTATTATTAGGTATATAATATATTTAAGTGATAGTTATATCATCACTCAATCATTGAATCACTATAAGACTATCCATTTCGAACATTTAAATTAAAAGTTGAAGATTAAGGTGTTTAAACATCTGTCATCACTCAATAGGGTTTTTGTCTTTTACTAGTTACTAGTTTCAATAATATCCGATATGTACCTAGGTTATGTGTTCCTTATTTCTAGCTGTATACAGTTTCCTGCGCCGTGTTTGATCAAGTCAATAATTTTTTAACTAAAATTTTTTAAATACGATTATGGGACTTAGTATTAGGTACTCTGTTTCTGTAAGAGTGCTACAATGATTATGGTTATAAAGGCCAAATCTCCTGTTTATTTTTAATTAATTTTATGTTTTAATTTAATATGTTCTTGCCCAGATGTGACTTATACAATAATACAATATTACAACTTACCTAAAATTAAAAAATAGATTTTTTTTTATTCGGATCGACAATGAAGAAATTTATTATAATTTATTTGTTATATTTAAGAAAACACTTGGTGGGAGGGGGTGTTTCAAAGATTCCTTGATGTTTCAACACACTCTCTATCGCCTGAAAAGTATAAAGTTATAAAATATACAATTATATATCTATAGTATAATTATTACACATATACCTAGTACCTACACGTTAGTCCTGTTATCGTTTGTGTAAATACAATGCAATATGACTTGTATTAGTTACCTATTTAAATTGTCAATTGACTTTAAATTTGTATTTTTTCATTTTCATATATTTTATATATTTTAATACTAACTAGATAATTAAAATAAAAGTAAATACCCATTTGATATAGAATATAATACAATACTTACAAAACAACTTGTAAATATTATGTTAAATTTGTATTATTAATATCACAAACTATTTAATTATAATATATCTACATAAATGTACATTAAACAAAAACTAAACCTAACATATTATAGGTGTTATACTTATTTATACTTATTGGCTATTGGCTATACCTATAAGTACCAAGTACCAAATAACGGCTAATATTATATTCAATTATGTACGAATTATTTTAAGTTGGATGTACTTTCGTATAACTCGTAACGTTAAATCATAAATAATTGTTGTACAAATATAAATTTTATTAATAAAGCAGCTAATTTACATATATTTTAAATTTAAATTTAATTAAGTATTGTATACCTATTATAGTATTATAGATACGTTCAGTGTACTGTACCTAATATATAATGTGCATGGACTTACTATGCATTAATATATTATACATACAAAAGTCAAATAATATGTGTAATACAAACGGATCTGTCTGAACAAAACTTTGATAAATGTTTACATATCATAAAGAACGATTTAGATGACATTTTGTTTTTTTTTTTTTATCGCAAATGCATTATTCAAATATAATTAATATCAATAAAGATAAATCGTTGTATTATAACTAATAAGTATTATAAATATCGTTATAGTATTAAACATAAAATATCACGTTATTTTTTACTCGTGATAACATTATTGAAACTCCTTTAAAATGAAACAAATTTCATATTATTATGTATTTAAAATCCAAACAAATATTTGAAAAACATAATATTGCTGCATGAAATACTCAAATACCTAATATAGGTACAGGCATTATTTTCCGACGAGATTGGGACTTCGTTTTTTTTTTTTTGATTGTTTTCTCGAAAACCGGTTTTATGAACAAGCTATTGTTTAGAAGAATGTCACAAGTAGATTAATTTCATATTAAAGTAATGTATGAAAGTATATTATATAAACAATTATTTTTACATTTCCTAGAGAAATATCTTCTTTATTCAACACATAAAACATGCAAATATAATGTATTGGAAATTGTTCAAACTTTTGTGTAGTAATTATAATTTTTCTGGGTCTATTATACAGAATAATATTGACAATATTGTTCTAAATAAATAAATAAAGAACATTTTGTAAATTGTTTTCTATCATAAGATTATTCCAAATTATGTATATTATGATTATTTAAATGAAAAATAAATCGTACATTTAGTATAATATACAATATTGTTTTATTCAAGCTGTAATGTGCATTCGAATGATTGAATAAATAAATAGAGCATACTTGTTCTGCGGAACACTATATAATTTCACTATGGCTGTATATTTTTTTCAAAGTTCGAAAGCAGGTATAAAACTCCTAGAGATGTTCAATCCCAACATTTTGATTTTGAAAATACTCATTGTTTTTCAATATTGCCAAAATCGATACTCCATCAAACAAATATAAAATACAATGTAGTAGTATAATGATAAGTATTGATTTAAACTGAAAAAAAAACGGAATTTCAAAAAAAGTTGCTGTAATGGTATATCTTAATTCTTTAATTTGAAGTATATTATGCATTATATTTTATATATATATATAAAAAAAAACAGTGGAACTTATTCTGTTGTAGCTATTGATAGTACATCATCATTGAGTAGGTGTGTCACCATAATAGAAGTATTAAATTTGAATTGTCTGTAAGCCTCTATTTCTAAGGATATTTTTTATTATCTAAATATTATGACTATAAGTCATTTATTTTTCCATTGTTAATACTGCAGTCAGCAGAACCAATATTTGTCAAACTCAAATTGCATGATATCGTATATGTGTTCACTGTACATCTATTATAATTTAGCAATAGCGCTATTATAAAATTAAAATTAATACATTTTTTACCAAATTGTTTAATTAAATAGTTTACAAATTAAATTTTGTTTTCAAATTGCCAAGTTATCTATAAATAAGATTAGAAAGAAACAAAAAGTGGGTAAGTGGATGTCGCTCTGCACAGTAGGTTACAATTGGGCCAATGTATATAAAGGATTTTATTAAACTTGAATTCAATGATATAATATCATTGTATAAGAAAAACGATTCTGAACGAAGACGGTTTGTCAGTCTGGATATTAGTCAAATTTATATCATAATAGGTATTATTATTTTTTATTCGTTTCTATAGTGATAAACAAAGCGTTAGAAAATAAAATCCCATTTTTTGCTGTTTTTCGTAATTTGTAGGTGGTTTTTCCTGTGCAATTAAATAAATATTTAGAAAATCAAAAAATGACCTGTCTAAAATACCTACCATCTTGATCCAATTTGCTAAAATATAAGGTATTATATGTTGAAATCGGAGCACTCCTTTTGGTAGATATTTTGTATACGGGATATATAAAAAAAAAAAAAAAATAAACACCATTGTATAACCAATAGCTTCCTCGCTCCAATAAAAATCTAAAATAAGTATAAATATTAAACATGGTTATTGTTACTAATCAATAACAAAAGTAAATAGATTCAAAATAAATATATATAATTTTGTAGATGAGCAATTACATTTACGCATTACCGCTGTTAAATGAATAATACCGAATTGAAAGAGTTTTTAAGCAAAGGAGCCTTGAAATGGAAATTTGTCGAGGTTATCACTGACATCGAAGAAGAACAAGTAATATAATATTATGTATATAATTCTTAAAATCTGGTTCACACATTTGCAATTTTTAAAATCTATTTTTTGCTTTCATGAAGTAGAAAATGTGTGTCCATCAATTTGTATCGTACATCATACAATATATTAAAATACATTCGCAATAATTTGTATACCTACTTATAATTGTGATGGTTCAGATTTGTACAATATTTTTCTTGAATGCATAAAATATCTCATATTCGAAATAGCAAACAAAATATTGTAGACCCGTGAACTCGGCTTACTTATAGAAATAAACAAATCATGCACTTTTCCACATTTTTTTTTTTACTTCATGTATTATTAATTAATTGACGGTACCAGAAAACTAAGCATATCTATTACAATATACAAACCTAAAATTACAATTTGTGGTTTAATACATTTTTAACGATTTGAAATATTTATAGAGTGACACGGAAAAAGATGACTATCAAAAATCTATACTAGAAGAAATATTTCCTCCCAGAGTATGGACTCGTATTGATAATCATAATAAGAAGATAACTTTGAGACAGATAATATCCAGAGAACCGTCAAATAGAGACGGCGTATACAAAATGATTGTCATGTTAAACCATTTAGAACAATTTTTTAAATTCAAGAAAAAAGGGATATGCGATATAAGAAACTCTGTTCACAACTTATTTTTCGGTAATATAAAGCTTACACCTATATATTATTATAAAAAATATCCAATGTAATATCCAATATTATGTATGATTTGTGGTTTTACAAACTCCATGACGTTATTATATATATTACGAAAAAGATGAAGTTTTGAGACAAGTCATAATTATGGATGAAGATCTTGGAGCAATTTTATACAGGATCCACAACGAGTTTAAGAATATGATTTTTATCTTAAAATGTATGTACGATAAGGCGGTGGTGACTAATAATTTGAACCGGGATTCATCGGTAATTGGTTTATAATAACATAATATTGTATCTAGTTATCAGATTTTATCTACATATTAATTTGATTACTTAATACCTTACCGTGATTAAAAATGACGAATTAGAGATGGCATAGTTATTATATACTTATCGGTGTTATTACCCTAATCGGCCCAACCATTGCGACTGACAGTAATTTTTACTTCAGAGAAGGTTTTCCAAATTTTCTGCATTTCTGTCAAATTTGAAAACTAAATTTTATATTTTAGTTGCTACCCTAATTTTAATACTTTTCCATTAATCTACTGTATCTATTATATCTATTTGGGAGGGGAGGGGGTTGACACGGTGTATTTATATCAATAAAAATGACTTTTCAGGGAAAATGATCACGACTTGTGGTTTGTCGGATTTTGATCATTTTTTGAGAACTTTTTACAGGTCGGATCAAAGACTTAATTTAATTTCACTTTAAATAGCGCTTGAAAAATACGTTTGAAAAATAACAATATTATTGTGTATTATTCAAATGTATTTTTTGCTTCTATATTTATAATTTTGAAAATCTTTCCTTTTTCTATACTTGCAAAATATTTCCTTCTTTTAAATTAAAAAAAACTAATGAAATCTGACTATTCTACATGGCCTGAGTGTTTTCCCTGTATGACATGTTTTTGTACTAATAATGCGCCGGCTCCGACACCCTTAAGTCTTAAGTAGGTTCGTATATTTTTCGTTTTTACAATACATCGTTGTATTAATATTTTACAGTGAATTTTTAACAAACTGAGTTTTTTAACAGTGGATTTTTATTCACGTTTGTTTTTAATCAACAAATAAGCTGTAAATAATTTATTTACAAACATAATATTTTGTACTAAACAATATAAATATGCTTGCTAAGTCGAACACATGAGAATTATATGATAAAAAGTTTACATCCAGCAATAACAGTCTCGCAATAATTAACTACAACAATAGTTAACCGGGACATCGTGATACTGAAATATATTAATTTTCATTTATTGAGTCTATGGTATAAAGGTTGTGGACAATGAATACAAATATTCAACGATCCTAATCATAATGACCCTTAAACTTTGTGTATTCGTAATAGCATTGATTATAATAGTATTTATAATCAATGGTATTAGTACCATTTACACTCGTTATTGAGTTTTTAATTTTTATTCATGAATAAACATTTAAAAATACAATAGGTAGTAGGTACCAATAACTGCCAATAGCCCTATCAACTGGAAATTCCAAAATATGTATTTAGTTACAATGAGATATATAGATCAGGTATTATAATTAGTTGAACAAGCAGTAGGTACACTTTATTTAGTAGTGTATAAGTAGTGTATAAGTAGGCACTGCACAACGGCAAAATTATAATAGCTAATAAGTATAAATCATATTCCAAATGGCCATTTATATAGGCACTCATTTACAGAAACGTTTAAATTATGTATTATAAAATAGTCAGTTTGGAAACATGTCTCCAAAATTATATTACCATAATATGGGGTGAATAAGTGAGTTCATTATAGGCCCATATAACGAAATAGGTAGTATAATCGATAGTTTCTGCCACCTGCAGGTTGTGATTATTTCTTTTTAAACCAAATTAACAACAAATTTACTTCTGAAAAACATTGAGAAAGTCTACTCCTATTTACCACGGGTGAAAATAAAACATGTATACGTCATAATAAGTCAATAATAATTAAATATTATATATTATTATATACATATACATAGGTTCTTTGTGAATATCTTTAGGTCTGTCTTAGTGTCTTATAGTTACAGTTATAAATTTAAATAAAAACAAAATATAGGCGTAGGTACGGTACTTATTTTAATATTTTTTAAAATTTTAAGTATAATTATTATAGTTATTCTTAAACTGATGATAATGTTTAGAAAATATATTTTTAAAATACTTATAAAATGGTTGATAACAATTTCAAGTAGGTAGCTAACCACATAACAAAACATTTTTTATAGGTGTTGTTCTCATTCTCATTGTACTGCTTGTTTTTATCAATTTTCTCGTTATGAATATAATTATCTTTATTAAATATAGTGTTCGAATTCCTATCTATAGATTAGGTTGGGTATATGATATTATTAAAATAATTGCAATTCAACTAAGAAATATGTCCTCCTTTCAATAATACTTACAAAACTATACATGTTATAACGTATATATTAAACCACCGTATTTTCAACCCTATTAGAGTTAAAGAATAAAAACTATATATTTATTGAAATATTTAGTTTTTAATATTATTTTAATTATATTATAATATATTTTAATTTTTCAATTCATTGCTGGTTATTATTTAAAACTAATATAATTAGTTAAAAATAATAAATATAAGAATATTTTAAATATATTATATTTTGTTCTTAGAATTTACGATATTTATTAAATTGTAAAATGTTTAGTTAAATGTTGGTTTTGTCTATATTCTACTATTTTTTTTGTATGTTTGGACCTCAGCCTTTTTTCTTTACGAACCTGCTAATATGAAGGGACACTGCGTTAGCATTATACTTCCAGACGTGTATAGATATTAAAATAAAATAAAATCTTTTAACTCAATATCATTAAATTTTAGAACATCAACCCTGAATTATTCACGGAAGTTGAAGACTTGACGAGAATCAATGATGATTTAAAAATAAAATGTAGACATTCAAAACAGAGACATGTAGAAAGGTTGAAGAAAAAAGAGTCCGGTGAGGATTATAAAGTCCTAGTTTCATTGAAAATGAAATATAAAATGCTGAATAACTACATAAAAAGATCAACCGAACAACTCAAAGTGAGATAATTTAGTCAATTCTATGGCTAATGAAAGTGGCCAGGTGGAAGGCACGCCGTTCCAAATGTTTACTTTTAGGAAAAATTTGTTCTTAAATTGGTCTTATATGCTTCAATGGCTTGGCTATATTTGTTATATTGATTTTCATTATTATATAATTCACATTTATTAATATATTTTATGGAACAACTAAAAACACAAAAACATTAATATTAAAATCACATAAATTAAATTTATGTATAATGTATAATGTATATATTATGACAAATAATATGAAAATCAATGACGTAGCAATCATAATAATAACTTATATTACCTAATTATAATTTATAATAATAATAATAAACATTTATAAGTAGTATCAAATTTAAGATAATGGGTGTATACAAATTTAACGTTGGAAAAATTAAAACAAACTGATATTTTAGCCAACAAAAGTTTACTTTTGTATGATTATTTAAAATTTAAATACCTAAATATTAATACTGGTATAGTACAAATAATACAGTTTTTATTGTATAACATATTATATTATTATGTCTTTTGTATACTTTATATAGCCTATTTTATCTATAGTATATAACTTATGTATTATAGTTATAAGTTTGTAGATTACTTGGTACAACTGGGTTGGCGTTATTGAGCGATTGTATAGGTTTTACAATTTTAAGTGACGATAATAACTGTAAATAAATAACAATTGTGTAGTAAATAATAATAATTATAAATTACATAAACTACGGAGAACCACTGGTTTTGCATATTCGCCTCATCGCCGTTGTTCCAAGTTTGGTCTAACAACAACTGTATGAACAACATGAACACTACCTACCAATATCATATTATAATATTATTAATAAGTATTTTTTCGTTACAGGAACAGATGAATATGATGACGCCGTCGAAAAAGACTTCCTACCTGATCCAAAGTAAAGTCAATTCCCCTAAGTTGTAATGGTTAATAGTTAGGTTTATATTTTTTTTATTGGCACATTCAATTACACCGATGACCGATGTCAATTCGAACTGTATCGATCATTGTTAATTATTCAAAACAAAATAACAATAAACATTTGGTTTCTCCAAAAGTGTATTTTTCTTTATATACATAACAGTGAAACTATGTTTTGACCTTTTGAACATATTAAATCTAATTGGTATAATATTATACTCGTCGTACAGACGCCACATATAATACTTATTATATTATTTAGTTAATAACAATACTAACAAGTACCTATATGTATATGGGAATATTGGATTTAAGGTCTGCACATTGTTATGATGCTCTTGCAGACGTTTTCAAAGGGAATCACAAAAAAATGGCAGTTGAGTTTCAGAGTTTCAGAGTCCTTTCTGGTTCACCGCTAAACTCTGTATAGCGTGGTAGAAAGAATATTATCTATATATAATGGACGTGTACACAAAATTTACAATCACTTGTGGTATTTATTTATTTTTGTGTTTGTTTTATCTGGCATTTCCAAATTCTAAACCATTTTCTCTTAAAAGAAGGACTGCATACGTATATAAAAACGTTAATAAAAACGTATATAAAAACGCAAGACATGTCTTGTTCCATTTTTTTTTTCAACAAGTGAAATCGAAGCGAATGAATAGTTAAGTGTATGGGGACCGCGTTTCCCAATAAAAATAATAAATCATTTTCGACGTATATATAATTTTAGATATTATTACGTATGGCATGGGTGTTCATACTCGGCATGATTATTAAATATGAAACTACATAATATTACTATGTTAACAGCGCTAATTTAAAATAACATCGATCGTATAGTATTGTGTACAGCATAAAACAGTATTAAAATTGTAAATACCACCAACCAGACACCATATACCGATGGACTTATAATGGGTTGCTGAGTTGTTAAATCGTACGGCGCGGCATTTTTTCAACAATATACAAACACCACGATTGTTATAATGTTTTCAAAACTTGCGGATTGAAAAGGGTTATAAAATATATTATTATAATTAACTGTTGTAAATATTATATCCTCTTTAGTAGGTACCTACTATAAACGTTCTTCGGGTTTTATTTCGGTACATTATTATAATAATAATATGTTAAAATGTATAAATATTAGGTAAATATAAAACCTGTATATTATAGTATAATGTTGTGTGCATATAAGAGCAAAACATAACAAAGACGTGTTCATAATACCCGGGTTTCAAATGTTTTTCAGTTTATTCATTTTCATATTTTGTTCCTAAATAGTTACCTATAATTATTATTTTAAATTATATCTTCCAGTTACCCCTCCCTCTTAGACCATACATAGTCGACAACCTCCTTCTCCACTATGTATACTTACGTTTTATTGTTATAGTTATTTCATTATTTATAGTTCGGTTTTTGAATTCACACTACTTACATTTTATTGCAGTTCTCAAGAGTTATAAAAAAATGCATGGAATTCGGACAGTCGTCTGTTCAGTTTTAGGGAATTCAATGAATGTAGTTATCAATGTTCGTATCGCTTAATCCACTCCCAATAACTGCAGAGGTAGCATTATATCTAAGTGTTTTTTTTAAATAATCTAAAAGATAATAATACTCTACTTAATGGTTTTTAATCAACTCCAAATAACTGCACAGGTAGCATATTATATGTAAGTGTCTTTTGAAATATACTAAAAGATAATAATGCACTACTAAGTGATTTATAATGGTAAATGTCTAATTATTTGGAAATTAGTAGGTGGGTATATTAATATATTATGTATAGTAATTATTATAAGATATTTACTAATTAGGTAATTTAGCATAGGTATTTATATTATATTATAGCTACTGAATTCCTATTGCTTATATTGTCTATAATTGCTCATAATTGAAATCGAATTAATTTATTGTACCTAATGTTTCGAATTTTTTGGAACTTGAGTGCTTGGGAGTTGGGAAATGTATAGTAAAATATCGAATTATTGAAATAACTTTTGTTAAAGTTCCAATTTAAAACATGAACTAGCCCGATACATATTTGGTTTTTATGTCTACCTACTGATATTCCTTCTTGAAATATACAACATAATAAACATACGGTTCTAATGGTCACAAATATGCTATAAGTGTTCCAACGATTTCTTATATAATATGACATCCACAAATGCATGTGAATGTTCCATGTACAAACGGTACTTGTAAAACTAATATATCCTATTACGGACGTCCACATATATAGGTACGTCGGACGTGGACGAATGGACACCGTTACATTTTATATAAATTAATATATTATAAACGTTTAATAACTTAAAACAAAATCTGTCGATACAGTGACATAATAATAATATAATAATTATGTTATGTTCCAGGTGATCCATTTAGTGTCAATATGCAATCATTATTTAAAACATATTTTTTACATTAATTAAATGTTATCGGTCTCAGAACAACATTTCAGAAATTATTAAAATTATTTAGAAAACATAGGTACCTATTATAATATTTTTATCGTTGTAATTTTTTTAAGTTTTACTGCTTGACTGTAAAAATACATATTTAATATCATAGGTATTCATATTCCTAAGTAGAGTATTATCTATAGTATATTATAGTATAGATTCTATACATACAAATCGAATTTTAAACGATTACCTATTTAATTATTAGTTATGACTTATAACATATAAGTATTTAAAGTTGAACAGAGCAGATTAGAGTGACACAGGAGGGTTGCCCCGCAAAAGTCGTTTGAAATTCGGATTTGTATAGGTTTCCATGTCATCAGAAAATTATTCTGGTTCGGTTGCAAATAAAAAATATTGCATTAGGTATGTATTTTATAATTTTAAAAAGAAAACACCTAAAAGAAATTAAAACGAAAATATATAATATTTTTGTCAAAATTGTTGCTTCGTATTGAATCGAATTAGGTATGTAAAAATAATATTTTCAAAATAATAAAACCTTTTCGAAATAGTGAGCGTAGACAATAGAATTACCTTGTTAGTAATATATCGTGTCTATATAAAATAATATAATACGAGGAGTACGTATATAGGTACATAATATATATACTATATAGGTGCATAACATAGCCAATACGATATAGTTTTGATTGCTGCACTTGTGTAATTACAAATTTACAACTTACTTTTTTCAGTACATCAACAGTAACCGAGGAAATCATTTCAATTGAACGTGCTCTCGAGTGTCGAATTATCGAAGTTTTTTTTAGTTATTTTTTTTTAGTATTCGTATAGCCTTCGGACGCGAACGCAATGACGGCTGAATAATAATTAAGTGGTTTACTGCATAGGAATGTCTCTCTCTTTTCTCTCTCTCTCCCATCATATATATATATATATATATCATATATAAATAATATATTATATACATATTATGTACCTGGTATATAATAACACGTCTATGTATGCCTATACATCCATGTTCTAGTATAAAATAGCATAATATTATACTACCTATATATATATATTATTGTATATATACTTGTTGTACATCCGTCACGTGGAATCACGGGAATTGAAAGAATTGTCCACCGGCACGTTCAGTTGTACGCAGTATAGGTATACACTATACGCCGTATAATATACGAAAGTAGGTATGTACACGTAACAACCATACAAGTCCCCAGTATATGCAATGGCTGTATGCCTGCAGTAAAACACCGATCAGCACAAGGATTAATCGAATTTTCGCTGGCAATTAAAAAAAAACTTTATCGGCCTTCTTTTGTAAAAAAAAAAAAAATATATAAAATGACGCCCTTGGGGACAAAAAAAAATTCGAAATCCCTACGTCAGTGAGTCGAAAAGTTCTAACAATCCAATGTGCTAAAATTAATATAATATTATTATAACATAATAAAATAATAAATATAGTTATCGACTCCTAAACCCATAAACAATTTTCGGTAAGGTTATTTAAATTTGGGGTAATTATCGGTACTAGTTATAGATGGATAAATAAATATATTATGGGTTTGTGTCTTTTTCGCGTCCCACGGTTGTTTTTCGTCAAACTCGCAACGGGCCTGTTTAAAACGTATAAAACGAAATATCCAAATAAATAGCTTATTATATTTAGTATACCTACCTGTAAAATATAATTGATGCGTATAAGCCACAAACACACGCCCGTTTATGATGTTAATCATATTATTATCATTCATCATTTACACGGCGATTTGCAGATTATAGTCTCGCGCTATACCTACTTATTATGGGGGAAGTGCACTGCTGTAAATTACTTTGAGGTTAGTATTTATTTATATTATATGTGGTTTTTTCGTTGTTGTTAACTGTTATCATTATCACTGGTGCGAGATTTTATACACGGAAATCTGACCGGGAGTCTCACAAATTACGGTATCCGGTCGTGACTAGGCGTTTTCGACATGCATTCACGATAATAGTTAGAATTATTCAATATCAACATTCTAACAACCTGTTACACGCATCATTACATTAAATACTCAATTATTATATTATTGTAATGAATGAACAAAGTCGAATTATTGCAATAATGCAGTTTAGAAATACTCAAATACCTAGTGTTCTACAAAATATGTATAATATGCAGAGCTTTGCATAGCTAATAACTAATATGTTTTGTCACGTATAAATTATTAATTTAAAGCGTGGATTTATAAATGCTCTAAACCAGCCCAAGACGTTTAATGTACCTACCAGGGACTGGAACCTTTTGAATTTATCTGTATCGGTTCCGGTATTGGTTCTCCAAAAATAAAATAACTGTTCCAGTTCAGTTCTGGTTTTTTGATTAAACCAAGATAGTATTGGTTCCAAAAAAATTCTGTTCCGGTTCCAGATCATTGAGGTACCGAAAAGTATAATAATTTTAAATACCTGGAATACTGGTTTAATTAATAGTATGAGAAATACTAGGAAACTCATATTATGATCATACATATTTTATACACAAAACAGTAATACCGTTAAATT